GTAACAAGTCCTAAGGATGCCAAAAGACAATGTATAGGACAGTTGCCTAATTACAAAAATAGAGCTGGAAAGTTGTTTGCTAAGTTGTTCAATGTACACTTTCCTATCTAATTTATCGTCTTATATTATGTGATACCTGGAAGTTTTACTTTTTGCCTACTGGTTTCGTTGGAACGATTTGAGAAAATTAAACTCTGGGTTTTATCATTGTTCATTACCAATTTATTAGGCGTAAATCTATCAAATGCAGTAGTTTCGGATTTTTTAGCAGATATTTTAAGTAAATTTAAATCCTTATTTCAGTCGATAATTGTGACATCATCAGCGAAAGCCACGCTTTTTTTAGGTAGCAAATTAAAGAAAAGATCGTTAATATATATTATAAATAGAACCGGACCCAATATGGAACCTTGAGGCACCCCATAAGGTATCATTTTGGTTTCGGAAAGACAGTTATTTAAATAGACCCGTTGTTTTCTGTTATTAAGGTATGATTTAAAAATATCCAGAGATTTTCTTCTGATTCCGTAAAATTGTAGTTTTTCCAGTAACAGGCAGTGTGAGACGCAGTCAAAAGCTTTAGACAGATCGCACATAGTTAGGAATATGCTATTTTCTATTTCAAGACCTTCCAAAATGTCACTTATAACTTTAGATACTGCTTTAATTGTGGATCTGTCGTCCAATAATTTAAAGTTATTTAGATATTTAACGAGTTTATTTTTTAGTATCTTTTCTATTACTTTACCGATTACAGGAATAATAGAGATTGGGCGGTAGTTTGCTGTTTCTTTAGTATCACCGTTTTTAAAAATTGGTATTACCTTACTGATTTTATGACAATCTGGGAAGCTTCCATCCTCAAAACATTTGTTAATAAGTAAAGTTAGTGGTTGACTAATTATATCAATAGTGTTTTTTATAAAGAAGCTATTCATTTCGTATATATCTGGGCATTTTGAGTCACTTAGTGATATGACATCATCATGTACTATTGCGGCCGATAAAAAGTAATCGATTCTTTATCAAGTTGCATGTTTTTCTTAAAAACTGGCTATTGTAAGTATTACTTACGTTAAACGTCAGTCATGTCAATTAAATTATTTTGACAAGAAATCATAGGTGTATTACATATTTAAATAAAAAAAACTTAAATTATATAAAGCATGTTTATTCGTAATACAAACAAAGAGAACAAATTATTTATTGGGCGACCAAAATAAATAAATTTAAACTTAAAAAGAAATAGTATACTACGACTATAACAATTATAAAAGATGAGCCAACCAGGGTTGGATGGGCTCAGAAAAACCGGCCCTGGTAATTTTTTCATTCAGCCCTCCCTCGGGCATTATCTTACATAATCTTACACATTTGTAATGCTGTAAAAACTCCATTAAAAAAAAATTAATACTTGGTAGAACCACCATTCTTCTCATTTTGTAATCTCCTAGGCATGGAACTAATTAAATTTTGCATATCGTAATTTTCTTCCAAATCGTTCCACTCATTTTGAATTGCATTTATAAGGTCTTCTCTATTTCTTGGTCTAAATTCAAATTTATTTATATTTTTTACGAGATATCCCCAAATATTTTCGATTGGGTTTAAATCGGGGCTTCTTGACGGCCAAGGAAGCGTTGTAATGTGATTTTCTTCTAGCCAATTATGAACCACATGAGCAGTGTGAACTGGCGAGTTATTCTTAAAATGAAGAAAATATATTTTTTTGATCAGGAAAGATAAATCATAAAGTGTTACGTGTTGAAACACAAAATCATTATCAAATCTTTCTTGCACTGACGGGAGCATTACATCGTTTAAAATTTCCACGTATCGTTCCCAGTTAATCGGCCTTCTACAATATGAATTATACCTGCCCCTGAAGATGATATCCACGCCCACACGTGGACAGAAAATCTTCCGCTGTTGTCAGTTTTGTGGAGGTATTCTTCATCAAACTTATGGTTTCTGGGACGATAAACTCGCAGTTGCCCATTGTAGCAGGATTGAAATATGTTTTCATCTGAAAAGACTACTCGCTGCCAATATTCAGGGTTTTGATTTAAAAAATTATTTGCAAACACCACTCTTGCCTCTTTATTAACATCCGTCAAGCGAGGCTTTTAAGCACTCACGCAGTTAAATAAACCTTGATCTCGCAACCGTTTTCTTGCCGTCCTAACAGATGCTGGGAAGTTGGTTTCCTCTTTGGCTTGAATGGAGTTAGAAAATGGGTTTTGCCTTACATATTTAACCAACTCATTGTTGTTTACTGGAGTTGTCTTTCTTGGACGCCCAGAACCCATTACCCTACTCAGATCAGTTTCCACCCACTTTTTGTATAATTTTTGAATAGCGCTTTTGCTTCAGTTTATTTCATCTGCTATTTGTTGTTGAGACCATCCTTCTCCAATTTTGGCGATAATATAGCCTTTCTCTGCTTCACTTAAAGTATGGTAAGGCATAATTAAATAATGACTTTACTTAATTTTAGATTTACTTAATTTAAGATGACGGTACTTAATTTTATAAAATTATTTTTGAAATGCCACTGGTGACAACCATATTTACAACGGGAAAATTAGTCGATTACTTTTTATCGGCCGCAATAGTACATCATAAGTGCTTACAGGATCAATAAAAAAGAAATAGCTGGTGAATGCATACCTTTAAAAAAGTTTAGTGCACTTTTATCGGTGTATGGCAGATTTCTTATTAAATTTTCAGCTATTGTAGCAAAAAAGGTGTTAAAGTTATCTGGTGTTAACGTATGATCCAATTTTGGAAATGTGCTTTTATTTCTTTCGTAATTTATTAACTTCCAAGTATCCCTTGCTTTATTTTTTGAGTTAATTATGAATTTTTCGCTTGCTTCCTCTTTTTTTAGTTTGTATTATTTGATTAGGTCTCTTGGGTTTTTTGTGGTATTATAAATAATCTTTAAGGTAGATAGGGTATTTCTAGTGTTTTTTAATAAATCATTAAACCCTGGTACAGGAATTTTTGTAAGTTTGGAAAATTTGTTTAAGGAAAATTGTTATTAGCAGGGCCGGATTAAGAGTTTTGAGGCCCTGGGGCCGAATTTGGCGGGGGCCCTCAATATTTCTAAAAAAAATTGACACTTGAGAAATTAAAACTCATGGTAAATTTTTAAGCTAGAGGAACTTTACATGATTTTTTATTATCCTTGAATCATTTTTTATTTAATAAACCATATAAATTTTAATAAAATCGGCCAAAGCGTTTTTAAGCTATAAATAAAAAACTCATTTTTTAAACGAAACACCCTGTATCTCGAAAATGTAGCATTTTCGGACACGTGTTTATAGGAACTTTTTTTCATATTTTGATGAGAGGAATTTCCCGAGCTTTTGACATAACAAGTCTGAATCACCCTGTATATTTTGAATAATATGAACATACATTTTACCCAAGTCTGAGAAATTATAAATCCGTATGCAAAACTATAAAAACGTAGATAGTAGAACAGAATTGTGAATGAAAGTGTTTTTATATACTTATATTTTATAATATATTATATTTTGAATAATACGAACATAACCTTATATATATATTTTACTCAAGTAAAATATAAATATGTTTTGTTTGTATTTTTAATACTACCGCAAACTAAAAAAAAGTGCATCAAAAGTTGTATTATTTGTCTATTTTTCATTCCATATCAAACAATAAAACAATCTTTTGTCCAAAGAAAAGCACGAAACAGTATTTCGGAAACACCGGAAAATATTCCACAACACTCCAATGTACCAATACAAATCTGGGACAAAAAATAACTTTAATATTAGATTATAAGTAATTGACTGTTTGCCTGTATTTACAAAAACTTTACGACAAGCACTAAAGGAGCAACTGCTTAAAATTGTTATGAGTCATAACTTTTGACTATAGACTATAAAAACGTCTTCGCGCGCCAAAACTTGTACGAATAAGCGATAAAAAATCCACGAAAAATTATAGTTAGATCTACGAAAAATAAATTGAAAATTACAGGATTCGCGCGGTATAACCGACCCAATTTTTTGTTTTTTCGACAACTTTTTTCATATTCGTTTCATTAAAAAGCTACATATTGCATTGGTGGGGGCCCCTAAATAGTAGGGGCCCTAGGACCGTGGCCCCTCTGGCCCCATGCTAAATCCGGCCCTGTTTATTAGTGATGTAAAGTTATTCATCATAAAGTTTGCTAGAATGTTAGCATCAGTATTTGTATTATTAAATTGAGACCAATTTAAATCATTTAGCGAATTCTTAAAAACTGCTATACCTCCCCGAGATATACCTATTTCTTCTCCAGCTAGCACTCTTTAAATCATTATTACCACTTGTTATTATGTATTGCCCCAGGTGATCCGAAAGACATGGGTCAGAACCCCCACTTTGAACAGATTTGGTTCAATGTTTGTTCGTATATTATCAATGCAATTCGAGAAAAATTCAGTTATTCTTGTTGATTCTAAAATAGTTACAGAAATTCCAAAGGAAGTAATTAGACATTGAAAGTCTGTAAGTATAGTGGAAATCGTGTTGAAGTTTATATTTAAGTCGCCTAACAATATTATCTTTTTATTTTTATTATTTAATTTAACTAAAACAAATTCCAAATTTTTTAAAAATATTTTAAATCACCACTGGGTGAACGGTAAATGGCCACAATTACACATTTTTTATGGAGTGGAGGTCTATCGCACAAAGTTCAAAGTTTTTTTCTGAAATTTATTCAGATATATCATTGATTTTAAATTTTAAGTGATTTTTTACGAATATTGCCACTCCGCCATGTTTTGTTGAGGCTCTACAAAAACTATTTGCCAGAACGAACTTGGGTAAATTTATATATTTAATATTTTTATGATTTATCCAATGTTCGCTGACACAGACAACGTCATATTTATATTGTTTTAAAAACAAATGAAGTTCTTCAATTTTATTTGACAAACATTGAAAAAAACAAAACAAACATGAAAAATACTCACTGTGCTGTCCTTGTTTTGTTTATTTATGTTAATCATGCTACTAATGGATTTACTATGTGATTGGGAAAATTTTGTTCGGGAACATTTGTGGGTTCTTTTTTTGGAAAAATAAACTTGTACGTTCCACCAGGCCAGAAACTAGGATTAATAAAAGTTTGTAGATGTTGAGATGGTACACCGATTTTATAGGCAACACCTTGTCTTTTTGTTGTTATTTTTTCACAGGTAAACGCTCCTTCTGGTACTTCTTCATGGAGGCAGTCCAATATGTCCTTGTAGGTATTTTCCTCTGTGGGATTTGCTATATAAATATATTTTGTTTTCTCCATTATTTTAAGCTTACATTTAGTTGTTTTTTTGTTGATGTTGATGAATTTGTGTGAATCTTAGCGTTGCCGGTTTTATTTTCTATCGCTTTAGTTGGTTTACTGTATATATATTAGGGTGCTTCGTTTGAGACGACTATTTTTTTTCTTATCCCAATGACGAAATATTGTTCTAAACATAGAAAAAAAAAGGAAAGCTCTTAATTTTAATTTTAAGTAGTCGCTAAATGAATTTAAAATTTTCCCATTTAATTAACCCGTAAAAATATTTTTTTTGCTTAAATTATCTATAGCATAGCGACATTTCATGGGTGGAAGTTGGAGAGGGATCATTCCTCTTTAAAAGCTCTTACAGCTAATTTCCAACTTTTGAATTATATTGCCAGTAAAAAATTGTGTCGTTGATTTTTGCTCAAAAATCGTGGTTTTTCGAATTTCTCTCTAAACAATAATTGAAGACCCAAGTGGATGAAGGTGCCAAGCAACACTTTTTCCAAAATTGAGTTATTCGCACCAAATACCATAAAAACTGCTATATTTTCTTGCAAAAATCATTTTCTGGCAAAAACTCCTTACTTACCTGAGATATTCATGTCTAATGGTGCTATGTACGCTCTTTTTTTTTAATTTTCAGTGGATAAAGGTGCTATGGTCAAATTTGGTTACATAGCACCTTCATCCACGGAAAATTGGTAAGAAGATGCGAATGCGATTTTTGTTTTCTTTACCTAAAAGTGAATAGAAAAGCTGATATGTCGCGAGGAAAGTATATTGTGTCACTGGTAAACGAGAAGAGTGATGAAGTGAACCTAAAGAAAGGTAAGAAACTATGTAGTTTTGCGGTTTAAAAAAAATACATTTTGAGGTTATGTGAAGTAGATATTCCTGTAAAAAAATATTTTTAGCATTGTAAAGTTTTGCTGATCTTTTCGGTTACTTTTCAAATTATTTTTTTAACATCTACATATACAACATCCTAAATGTACCCACTTAGATACTTATACAAAATAAAACGCCTTTAAAACCGGTAGCCGGTAATTACCTATATAATGCAGGTTAGCACTTTTTGTTGGGTTAGGCCAGGCTAGTTATTTTATTAGTTTTCTTGAGAAAATCCATTAAAATCGCATTTTCGCGTCTGGCGACTGTCCTGACTTTAGCATTTTCCCTAATATAAGGACAGCCTATGTAAAAAGGTAAGGACTGTTGGGTATTTAGCCATAGCCTATATTTAAATAAGTTTTACCACATAGTCTTTTAACTTATTGTAGATGCCTGTGACGAAAAACTACATACAGAGACTAGCGCGAAAGATTTCGTTGAAAAGCCAGTTCAAACTAAAAGTTCTGCATATGTCTCACCCATACCAAGTTCATCTAAAGAAACTGTTGAAGGTAATATTATTTTTCTGCTTGTGTCCGAAAAGTACCTACTATGTTACTTACTACTTGGTGCAGTAAAGTGTTCTTTAATGCTCACAAATAGAAAACTACAATCACCAATCTGAAATCGAATGCAAGTAAATCCTAGTTGAAAAATATTGGATTCAAGATACTTTTTTAGTCTTTAAAGTAACATTCAGTCTTCTATTGTATTCCAGGTACCCCTGTCAACCACCTATATTTAGAGACGAGTTGAAAAGCTTCCGCAGATATGACAGCTCAGATTTACTTTTCTGAGTATATGTCACCAACTCAAAGCACAGCCAAAAAAGATGTTGTAGATAGAAGCCCATACTCTGTACATTCCTACACTAGTGAAGAAGTTTCATCAGGAAGTGAATGTGAAGCTGAAAGTGAACATGAAACCAGTGATAGCTCCGATGATGAACCATTGTCCAAGAAAGCAAAAAAGAATCGCCATACTACCCATAGTCCCACTCCTAAACAACAAGTTCTTTCGGTTCATGTCACAGCAGATAGTAATACAGATTCGGTTCTGTCAGAAAAAATAAAATCAGCGAAAAAAAAAATATTTTCACCAAAGGAAAGTAAATCAAGGGTTCGAACAAGAAATCCCGATACCTGGAAAAAAAGGAAAGCTGCTCTGGCTAGGGAACATGGTCAGGAATACATATCTTATAAAGGAAAGCAAATGCCAAAGAAAGAAATTGAATTGGGACTATTGTGTTCGGAAAAGTGTAGACTAAAATGTTCAGATCAGTTTAATCAGGAAGATCGAGAAATGATTTTAAAAAGATATTATTCTATGAATAAAGAGGCTCAAACTGCCTTAATATTCAACAGCATTGAAGCGTTTGACGTTAAAAGACATAAGAAAGCTGCACGTAAAGAAAAAAAGTTTACCTTTACATACTCAATTTCTTTTAAGAAAAAAAAAATACCGGTGTGCAAAATTGCACTTACTTCCCTTTATCAGTTTAGCAGGAAAAAAATTGCAAGAATCCAGAAGATGCTTAAACTTGGACAAAATTGCCCTTCACCTGATAAAAGAGGTCGCCACTCAAACAGACCCACAAAGATAAAAGAAGAGGTAGTTAATTTTATAACTGACCACATACGTCAGTTTCCGGCAGAAGAGTCGCACTACTCTCGCAATAAAAATATCTTTAAAAAATACCTGTCGCCCATTCTTAGTGTACCTCAGATGCATAAGATGTATCTTGAGAAATGTGAAGATAAGAAATGGATGAGTCCTATAAAGTTAAGCTTTCTTTCTACGAACACATTTTTAAAACAAAATTTAATTTATCGTTTGGTCATCCAAAAAGCGATACATGTAGTGTTTGCGATTCAAATCAAGGTACTGAAACCCATACCGAAAATTACCATGCTGCCTTTGATGCACAAAATCGAGATAAACTGAAGCCTCAAAATGAAAGAAACACTGTATTTATAACTATGGATTTACAGCAAACCATGCCCCTTCCTAAGCTAACTACAAACAAAGCTTTCTATTTGCGCCAAATGTGGTTTTATAACTTTGGCATTCACTGCATCACTTCAAGCGAAGTAAAGCCATTTTTCTTTAATTGGACAGAGGATGTAGCTAATCGTGGTAGCCTTGAAATAGCCAGCTGCCTTTATAAATTTTGCTTTTTGATCAAAGAAGTATGTAAGGTTGATCATCTTATAATATGGTCCGACTCTTGCGCTGGCCAAAACAAAAATTTTACGATAATATGTCTTTACCAGCTCTTGATTCTAAACAAGGTTTTCAAAGTTATTGACCACAAGTTTCCAGAGGTCGGACATAGTTACCTAGATTCGGACAGGAACTTCGGAAGAATCGAAAAAAAATTGAGAAAATGGGAAAATATTTACCTACCCGATCAATACAGAGATGTTATAAGGCATGCAAGTAAAAAGAACGCAGAATGTATCAATAGGGAAAATAATTTTTATTCTTTTGATAAACTTCAAAATACATTATATTTATACAATAAAAAGACCAATGAACTAGGAGAAAAAGTTCAGTTTAGAGATAATATCAAATGGATAAGAGTAGATGAGTTTGGAAATTATTTATACAAAGAAAGCTTCGATGAAATGACGCCATTTCACAAAGTTAACTTACTAAAAAAACGAAAAATCATTACCGAAGAAGATAATGTAAGCGTGACAATAATAAAAAATAAAATAGGTGGACTGACAGCTGAAAAATCAGATAATTTGCGTCAACAGCTACAGTTTGTCAAAGAGCCATTCAAATGGTTTTATGAAAAAATATTGGAAGAACAGAGCAATAATCCAAAGCAATCAAAGAAAAAACGAAACACTATTTAGAAGCTTAAGTTTGTGAATTTTAGTATTGTTTTGTTCTTTTATAAGGAAAAAAATAAAACTTTTTGTTCCATATCACCTTTACTGCTTATGTTTTTCTTTAAAAATTCCGTGGATAAAGGTGCTAAGTACACTCAAACTCAAATTTTGAACCTAAATCGATTAATTTTTAAAGTGTATGTATAATAGAAAATCATTCATTGGTAGGACCTAACACGTCATGAAAAAAAAGGATAAAATTTATCTTAACAAAAAAAATTGTAATAAAATACGCGAAAACCGTTTTTTCTCGAAATAATGATTTTGTTGCTTGGCACCTTCATCCACTTGGGTCTTCAATTGTCTTGACACCAAAATTGTAAAGGACCTTTTTTGTAGAGAATTTAATTTCCTACAAGACAGATTAACAGCCGAACCCGCAGAATAAATTGTTTAAATTAAATTTTTTACTGGCAATACAATTCAAAAGTTGGAAATTAGCTGTAAGAGCTTTTAAAGAGGAATTATCCCTCTACAACTTGACTCATGGTCAAATGAATGCCATGAAATGTTGCTACGCTATAGATAATTTAAGCAAAAAAATATTTTTATGGGTTAATTAAATGGGAAAACTTTAAATTCATTTAGCGAGTACTTAAAATTAAAATTAAGAGCTCTTCTTTGGTGGGAATTTTTTTCTATGTTTAGAACAATATTTTGTCAATGGAGTGAGAAAAAAAATAGTCGTCTCAAACGAAGCACTCTAATATATATACATAAGTATATAGGTATATGTATGTATACATTTGAAATTTACGTTTTGACATAATGCCACGTTTCACACGGTGCTTTGTTATCTATTGTTAATCGTTAATATTCCACAATCGAATCGGTGCCTTTTGGGCCGCGCTGCTTGTACTTGGACATCATTTACAACAATCAAACACCGATTCTCGACAATAGTACCTTGTATTACGATTATCTAACTAGACAAAACAATAGATTAAAGATTAAATACACAAAGTAAATTAAAGTCGAAAGCTAACGATTGTAACGAATCCACAATCTCCGGAATGACACTTGTCTTTTCCATTTTAATGCCCTTTTATTAATGCTCACCTCATCCCCTCAAGGGTTAGCACATTTCCATCTTTTTAAATCTTTCTTTATCTCTACTTTCCAATGAGACTGTGGCTACGTTTGGTGATCGTTAGTGATTACCTTCACTAATGCATGCTTATCGGAC